ATTTGATCAAAAATACAGTAAAAACAGTAATATTGTGAAATATTATTACAAATTGAAATATAATTCCTGTGATGAAGAAACTTTTCAGCATCATTACTCATTAATCATTCTAATATGCTGATTTGGAATTACTAATTATTAATGTTGAAAAAACTGCTTATATTTTTGTGGAAACAGTGATAAAGTATTTTTTTCAGGATTCTTTGATGAATATAAAGTGCAAATGAACTGCATTAATTATCATGTTTAAATATATTATAATAAAATATATATTAGGGATGTGCAAAGATTCATTGCGATTAATCACATCCAAAATAAAAGATGGTGTTTACATAATATATGTGTGTGTGCTGTGTATAATTATTTTGTATATACATATGCATGCATGTATATGTTTAAGAATTATTTGCACGTAAATACTGTATAGACAGTATATATAAATACATAATCTATGTACAAATATTGTATATATAAACAATACATTTTCTTAAATATATACATGCGTGTGTGCATTTATAAATTACAAAATAATTATACACAGCACACACAAATATATTATGTAAACTCAAACTTTTATTTTGGATGTGATTAATCTTCGCAGTTAATCTTTGCACAGCCCTTATATATTATTATATATCAAAATTTTGTAACATTATATTTTGTAAAAAAAAATTAACGGCAGTGTACATTGTCCATCCACATATTAAAACATCACATATACGTTAGCAAAACAACTCACAGTTCCTGTTTGAGTCTGCGAAGTTTAGCTTTGCCTTCTGCTAGCTGCACAGCCACTCCCTCGGGCGGTCCATCACCAAACACACTCGACGTGGTTATATGGCCTGTAGATGATTCCCGTTCCTGAATAAGTTCTGCTATCCTCTAAATATCAAGAGATAACAGAGACATCCAAAGCTAAAGAACACCCTTTCTGAACACCACTTCAAATCTATCCTCACCTACTAGCACAAGAAAATGTTCTTCTCTCACCTCCAAGTGTGTGTCTCGTTGGCTTAGCAGGTTCTGGATCTGTTTGGCCATGGAGCAGAAGAGAGTCTGCAGCTCGACTCCATTCAGCCCACACATGTCTCCATACTCCAAAGGAAGCACTGCGCTCGGGTCCTGGGTCACCTGGAACATGATGGATCACAGGGTTAGTGACACTACATGCTTTAGTTTGAGATTATGCTCAGGTTATCACTGACCTCTTGTATGCAAAGTGCAATCTCTGCTTGTGTATCAATGTCCAAGCACTGAATTTGCTGAATAAACATTTCTTTCCTTTCACACTGGGTGAAAATGAGTCATAGGAACAGAGAAATTAATCACACACTGTAAACATTCAACATTATACTCTCTGATCCATTTAGCAGTGCTGAAACTCTGTTCACAGTGCTTCGTTACCTGTACTGCACAACCCAGCAATAACAGTAGCAGTCTTCTGAGCTCTGCAACAGCGCCCTCTATTGACATGACACCAACAAAGGATATTAACTTAAAAATGTCTACTTTTTTTTGCTCGTTTATGTTTATGTAATAAACAGAACCACACCTGTCAGGGGATCTCTACCTAAAACAGCAACATTTGGTAGTGGCATCAGCACCAGCTGCTGTAGATTCTCCTGAAAGAGAAACGCGCATTAGAGAAACGACAACCATTAAAACCTCATTGGTGCTTTACTGTCATCCCAGACAATGCACAAGTAAGAGGTTCAAGTGTGACAGACATTGGCACACAGAAGAATGTTATTCATATGCAGTCATGGCCAAAAGGAAACAAACAAGATTGTGTAAAATAGGCTTATTTAATCTGCGACATCTGACACCTTAATCATTATGAGTAATGATCCTGTTATTACAGTAGGTCATTTTCTAATGCCAGATGATAACCAAATTCATATACAGTGGTATTTACAAATTATAATAAGGTACTTTAAAGAACACTGTAATAAAATTCAAAACCATGCAATTACCATGGTACTTTTTTTGTAAGTGTATGTAGAATAATTTAGCTGAACTGTAAAATGCTACATGCTCTGTAAATGTTCTTATATCACACACATATTTTATTTTACAGAACATCCACTTGCAGTGTAGTTTGGGGTTAGTACTTAGTTATTACCCAGTTATTGTAATTACTATAATACAGAAATGTATGCATCACCTGCCTTTATTCAGTGTAATTATTAATCAGCTAGTTTTCTGATAGATAAACCAACTACTGTGGAGTTGGAAAGCACACTTCAATTGAACTTTTTTTAAAAGACTAATGTCAAAAATCAAGACAATGCGGGTCAATACATAAGCAAAATAATAATTTAGATTTTTTTTTTGCTGCGGTTATTTAACGACTATTGCTTTTTGTCTCTCATTTTCATTTGAAAATGACCATAACATGCTATGAGTGAAAAAAAGAGTGCAAAAACATGTCCACAGCAAGGACATTTGAAACAAGAAGTGAAACCACAGAAAAAAACAAACATGGCCAACTTGTTCCACAGCAACAAGCGTAGCACATGCTATTTAGTGAGCCATTCGTACACTATTTACCTGAACTTTACCATCAGGTGCTGGCAGCATTTTGATTCTAGTTGATTTTGCAGTTAATCAAGCAAAGTATTTGTGGAATGTTCTTGAAAGACATTTCTCATGTTTTGACATAGTAAATTGATTGATGCTTTAATTCAGTACCTGATAGTATGATCTCAGGTGTCGATTGAGGATGGAAAAGTTCTGCACTCTGAGAATTTTGTCATCACCCACATTGTGGTAGATTTGCTCTACCTTTGGATTGGGATCACTGATTAAAGAAACCAAACAAACAACAAAAATGTTGCCATTAGCTGAGTCACTGTTGAAACAAGTCTACCAACAATGAACATTTAATCCTTTTTTTTTTTTTTTATCAAACTACATAATTCAAAACAGAATAGAAAAAATGATTTGAATTTTTACACTTTTGAGTCTTTCTTACATGATCCTCATGACCTCATTGAGGTAGACTCCATTTGTAAGCTTCAGGTACTGCCTCACTGCATTCTGGGAGTTGAAGTTTACTTCCATGTATTCCTGATAGAGTGATCCAGTCTCCTCCTCATCGACAATACCCTCAAATAGATGCACCTTACAGACAATGAAAAACAATTCATATCAAGGTGCGAAGAATAACTGAGTAGGATTTGAGTATAGATGTTCTTTGTTCTCTGTTGTGAATACTGAGTCTGTCAGAATTTTAAGTAAATTCAACGTTTCATTATGACTTTTAAATTCTAAATATATATTTAAGATGTCTCTCGCTGTTGAAAGCTGTGTTTTTTTAACTTGTTAGCTTGTGTTTAGCTGATCCAAGCAGGTCAAAAAACAGACAGATATAGACTAGTTGTGGCCAGCTAGTAGCCAGTTTGTTGCTAATCCAAGATGGTCTATCAACTTGGCCCAGAAACCAACTACAATATTGGAAAACACGGTTAACTGTGTAATATTAGCCTACATTTTCAGCTGGAAACAGCATACATGTTTGTTTGTTAATGGTTAGATTTACAAAAAAAAAAAAAAACATAAACTGATTTCTGAAAATGATTAGTTTAGCCAATTTGATTTATAATTTCTTAACTCGTTTAAAAAGTTTACAAAACATTTTACCGAACAAAATTAAAACTATTAAAGAACTTGTTTTTGCGTCCCACCTACCCATGTAACAAGTGCACTTCCCATAAACTCTTCTAACATTTCCGAAACGTTTACGTCCATCTTCTTTTGTACCGTACCAGATCAGTTTTATTCCATAAAACACAATGGATTATTTAAATAACAGACTTTGAAGAGTACATTCATGGTTACCGTAATTCTCTTGACAATAGACTGTCAAGATAGATCTGTTTAACTGTTAACATCTTTGCTTTTTGTGCCTGTACCTTCCCTCATTAGTCACACTACGAAACCACACCGGAATCTAGAGAGTTGCATTGCATTGGGTCTGTTCCCCTCTGCGCGTCCTCGTGTCAGCATATGACGCGCGTTTCCACATAGAGCACAGCAAAACCACAACTGAAGGATGTTTCTCAAAACCTAGCAGGCTGCCTATCTAGACTGCATTTTTGTGATGCACTTTGAGAATCTATTCACAGCCACTCTCCATGAACGAGTCTCTGCTGTCAACAAATGCATGCATTACGCCCTTTGTTGACCCCAACTGCAATCTAAAAAGGCTGATCGAGACACAGTGTGAGCAACACATGAAATCAAATCTATTCATGTCAGTGGAAGTCGATATAACGCACTTAAAATAATTGAAACTACTTGCAAATACAGCAATGCGCGATTTGCAAGGTGACTTGAGAGAGATTGGGAGTGACAGAGGAGCAAAAGTGAGTTTTTGGTGCTGTCTAGTGGTGGAAGGGTGTAATGCGTTATCAGATCATCTGGACTTTTGTAACCTTAAATGTCTTTCTTGGCACTTTGACTTTAGATGTGTTTTTGTTTTATACATGTGACCTTTTTCCCGCAATGAACGATCCACTAAAACGGCATTACTTGAACCTAATGTGATTATAGTGCAAAATTAATTGCTTCTATATAAGATCCACGGCACAGTTGCATTCCTTGTATTGCCCTAGTGTTGTTGTTGGTTTTTTTTTTTTTTTTTTTTTTTTTTTTTTTTGCATGTGAGTGCTTTGGCAGCAGTCATATATTAACCATCATCATGGGATAAAGAGATTTCAGGTGTCAGAACGGGGCACATAACAATATGGCCTGCCGCATTCAGTCAGCTTAATCCTATTCATCACTCTCTCCTCTCTCTCTCTCTCTCTCTCGCTCTCTCTCTCTCTCTCTCTGCATAGGCAGAAGAAGAGGAAATTGATTTAACACAGCACCATTTCACAAGAGAAGTTAAGATAAGGCTAGTGTGAGGGAAGAAGTATACTGAAAAACACATTTCAACACAAAACAAAAATTAGCACAAGCTCATGAGACACAATGACCACATGTGACTTCACAGATCAGTTAAAAACTCTTTATTTGTCGCATACATCTGCAATTTCAGCTCTCTTTTGTCTATTTAAGCAAAGCATGAAGCAGCAAAACATCTACAGACCTCATGTGATGAAATGTACTATTTCATTGCCTTCATTTCCTTGGAATTTTCTTCTTTAACTCTTCTTCAGACATCTTCGTTTTATATATAATTGTCATGGGAGAAAGGAGTATTTTCGTACCATCAGATTTTTCAGATTTCCAGCATTTTGAGAGGTTACTGGTTTTTACCTCAAATATTTGGGTAACTTGATGACTTCATTTAACAATGAAGTAGCAACGTTATAATTATGATGACTTTATTTCCCTTGGATGATGATAATCAAGGACAGTAAGCACACATGTGTACATGAGCACTGATTTTAAACAAATACACTTGGTCTTTTAGGCTGTGGCTGGCTTTTCTGCCTCTGGCTCGGTGGCCTGGGTCTCAGCGGATGCGTCGCCCACCTGAGCGAACTGCAGGAATTTCATCATCTTTTCTTTTGTCTCCATCAATGTCTCCTTCACTCCCTTCTCCAGGATGTATCCCTCTGTCTCGATCTCCACGTTCTCCTCTCCCAGCACACCCTCCATTGCAGTCTGCAGATAGCGCAGACTCACTAGAATGGACATCTGAGGACCAAGGAGACATAGAGGTCAGAGTTCAAATGACATTGGGGTTTTTCATCAAATTTCTTCAAATTACTTTTTCTTAAGGAGACTTCATCAAGTCATATTTTAGCCATAAATGAAAATCCTGTCATTTGCTCACCATCATTGTTACCTGTCAACAAAAGATTATGTTTCGAAGAGCATCGGGGTCCAAAACAACATCAGACCTATTTGACTTTCATTGCATCATTGAATATATTTTTTAATATATTTTTTTCTTTTTGTGATCTACTGAAGCAAGAATGTCATGTTTATAAGGACATGAGGGTGAGTAAAGGGTAACTTAATGTTAATAGTTATAACCCATTCTCTCTCTCTCTCTTTTAAACAACATTTTATTCCATTGTATACTAATTTGTGGCTTGAACAACAACAAACCACACTTGAATTTTTGAAGTCAGTGCTAATACAACATTAAATTAAATATCATACTATTACAATCTATTTTATCAAAGGAAATCTAGTTTTATTGGTGCTGGCAGCTGAAATCAAGTTTATTTATAATAAATTAAGTTGTTTTATTGATTATTGAATTATTGTCATGATGAGTCATTAGTGTTACAAAAGCTGTGACTGTTATGTTACTGTTGTGATTTTGGATGCAAGTTATTTTAATGCTTAAATAATGAATATTGACACCTCACAGAGAATTCACAACTCTTCTGCCAGCCTTTCCGGAAGAGTGTCGATATTAACTGAGTGATTGAGTGTGTGAACGGTTCGATGTGTTGCGCACATTAGATTATACAATGTGTTGTTCGTGGCTGACACTTAAAATCATGTGGTTATTTGGGGGTGGGAGGTCCACACAAAACAGTTATCTGAAGCAAATGGCACATATTATAACATGCGTCCCACATCCGTGTGTTATTTACGGCTGACACTTAAAATCATGTGGTTATTTGGGGGTGGGGGGTCCACACAAAACAGTCCTCTGATGCAACTGGCACATATTATCACATGTTTTTTTTAGTTGCATGCATTTTTTAATTTTGGTGTAATTAGCAACTCTAATGTTATGCATGTAAACGTGAGCTTAGAATTATAAGGTTCTATCTCCGTTTAGGGTAGTTCTGAGATATTGAGCATCAAAGTTTTTACATCCAGCTGGCAAAACTGTTATGTAGTATAATCTTCTATTATAGCTTTATCTATTAATCTTTTTTTTTTTTTTTTTTTTTACAAAAATAACACCACAGGCATTAATAAACACCTAATGGATCAGATTATGTCAAAAACTAAATTTCGACCAAAAGTGGAGATAGAACCTTATAATTCTAAGCTCATGCATTGTTCGGTTAAAAACATTATTTTGTGTGACTGTTAGGTGACTAAACGATCCACTAATTACACACTTCACCTGTAAGATCAATGATCATCCAATAGAGCTGTTAATTTAGGCTAATTTAGGAAGTTAAAATGTTTTTTTTAAGGATATTGGTTTTGTGCTTTGAATAAAATAAGTTCTGCGGTTAGCGTTACTTTCATGTTTTTTCTTAATTTAATAAAATATTCACTGACTATATATATTTTTACTGACCTCAAACCGCAGTGTTTTGCTGACCATTGTAGTCCTTCTATAGCAACTTTTTTAATTAGGCTGTTCAGAATTCACGTTTGAGGTATGAATATTATTTATTTTGGACAACAAAACATGAAAGTCGCTTCCTATAACGTCTAACACAGATCTTATTTTACTCATAAATCAAAAACTTCCATTAAAAAGAGATTCCTGAAAGAATATGGCTCAGAAACGCAAATTCTTTTCCTTTTGGAAGATGAGGATCAGTGGTCTGTAATTACTCATTAAACCCATTAATGAGCCCATACCTGGAGAAGGAAAAAAAGCAGTACACAAGGGCCGATGGTGTTCATTAAACCCATGTAGTAGCTGACCAGGGCTTGGCGGCAACCTCGGCTGTACAGGTTCAGCTCTTCAGTCTGATACTCGTAGTTGTAATGGGCAGCATTGTCCCGGAGACTGTTCTGGATGCAGGGCCGGGGGGAGGAGGGGTTACAGCAGCTGAATGGGACCCCATCCATCAGATAACGCCCATCTACGTTACTCTTCACTCGACTGTCGGCAAAATGTAAAAGACAGAATCATAAGACTAATGCAATTACAGTTATACATATCCTAGTTTTGTTACATCATTGACTCTGCAACTGTCTTTATTGACTTTCTGATCAATGTGCCAGGCTCATGCGCACATGCATAATTGATTTGCGAGTATAGGGGTTGGCCCTTCTTCATCTGGTGATGACATCCTGTTTCAGAGCATGACATAGGCTACTAAATTAACCTTGGAAGCTAAGGGTGGGGGGTCTTTGATTTTTGGACTCACTCTTTGAAAATTTTTGGACTCACTCTTTCACTTCTTTGGATGTGAAGTCCAGGTAGCGGTTGCTGATCCACTGCACCTCAAACCAGTCCCTGTAGTTAGAATTACCACAGCACTGGAACTCAATCTGTAAACGGTCAATAGTTTCCTTCTGGAAACAACGGCCTGGTGTGTCTGTGTCCTGTAGAGATATTTAACATCAGTTCATTGACTTGTAATTGAAATCCCTCTATTCAATTCAATATTAAATTCTTTAAATTCTTTTGATTTTAAACGTATATTAAGTTGTCCTGCCTTTGGAAACATTTCTTTGAATCTGTGTTGTCTAGACATATATACAAATGTCATACTCAAAAAATGCCTGATCACAAAACACTGGTCAGGAAATTGGCAAGAATTGCAGAAATACTGTAGATAAAGAAAGAAGAGTCATGGTTCCACTCAATGTTAATGGCTTCAAACATTTCATTAGTAGTTGAAAAATGTCTTCCAGTTTGTGTGAGTTTAATGTGAGACCACTATAGGGTTCAAATCTAGTCAAAACATGTGCCTGATGGACTTGTTCTCAAGCCAATTCTTGGTGGTCTTTGCAATTTGGGTAGGAACAAAATAACATCTCATTCCTCTTTTGATAAGAACCTTTCAATTGTGGAAAGCGAGCCATTCTGCAATATTTTTCTGTACTCAAAAGCATTAAAGGTTGTATCAGCGATTTCAGGCCCTAACAAAAATTATCACAATTATCTAAATCTTTCCTAACGATCCGCTAGCTGCCCGCCCCATAAGCAGGCTGTCAAAGAAACACGTCTCTGTACACTCTAAAAAATGCTGGGTTGTTTTAACCCAATTTTGGGTCAAATATGGACAAACCCAAAATGCTGGGTTAAAAATGTAATGTAAAAATTTAACCCAACGGCTGGGTTAGTCCATATTTGACCCAAAGTTGGGTTAAAACAACCCAGCATTTTTTAGAGTGTAGGCACCCTATAGATCTTTTTTCAATTTTTTTTTTTTGTGTTTAATATTCTGAAATGGCATATTTAATTAATTATTTAATTACTGGACTTTTTAAAAACATCTATTTATTCATTAATACAATAAATATCGCATTCTCTGAAATGCCATATTTATTTATTTTTTCTTATCTTCATGCTCTCCATGTGTTTATATTTTTAGCACTTACCAGTTGTAATCATGTAGTACTACATGATAAAAAATATAAAGTACATTACAAATTAAATGTACACTCTAAAAAATGAGTGTTGTTGGTTGTTTTAACCCAGTATTGGGTAAAATATGGACAAACCCAAACGTTGGGTTAAAAATGTAATTAAAAAATTTAACCCAATGGCTGGGTTTGTCCATATTTTACCCAAAACTGGGTTAAAACAACCCAGCATTTTTTAGAGTGTAGTAATATTATTATTATACACTGAGAATTAATGAATATCTAGGACAACTGATAAATAATTGTTAAATGATTGTTAATCGTCTTTCTCTCACCAACCTTATAGAAGCGGATGCCGTTCTTCAGCCCGATCTTCAGAGACTCCTCCAGGCTGGGCTGCAGGGCGAAGCTCAGAATCATGGCGACCAGCAGCAAGGAGGTGACGAAGACCGAGACGATGAAGAACGGAGGAAGAAACGTCTTCCAGCGTGGGAAACGCGTGGGGTCCAGTGAGTCCTGGCAGACTTTGCTAGCACAGATGTTGATGCCCACTGATGCTAACCCCACTGCCATCAGCAGATTTGGCACAATGTGGATGTCCATATTGTGCATCACCTGTATAGAGTGAGAAAGATTACATTTTTGCAACCTGTTTTTAGCAGCATTTGATCATGAAAGCCCAGAACGATGTTCCCTTTACATTCAGGATGATGTTTCAACTGAAAACTTGAACCCGAAATGAATCCAGTATAAGAAAAAGGTTAAGAAACTGCATTTTCACATAGCACAGACTTGTTAGCTAACTGTTCTGTTTAACTGTTCAGCAGGTGTGGGATATTAATTGTTTCAACCATAATGGTTTTCACTTAGTATCAGCTTTAATTGTGAGGTTTATTATCTTCATATACTCAAGCCGAGCTATTGATGCACGCTATAGAGACCTTGTGTGAGGGCCAATCCTCAGATTATGTGAGATTATTCCTCTCAACAAGACAAAGCTTAGGCCTGTTAAACTTGTGTTGACTATGTAATAGTATTGTACATACAGTAAATAATATCTGTAAAAATACCAAACTTATTTTTTATGGCATTTGCTTAGTGTAAAAACAGTACTTCGAAAAACTGTTTATCTTGTTTTGAAGCACTGGTCGCATTTGTCATGATCCTTTCACACACTTAATGGACTGTAATGGCAGGCAAACTACACACTTCAATACGTTATGTTTCCATTTATGTTCTTAGCAAACAAGCATGAATCTAGGGATACATCTCATTCTTCATTTGTAGGTTATCTTTGTGTTTAGTAATTAAGAAAATGTTTCATTACCTCCGATCTGCGATGTAGCTCAGTTTTGAGGAATACTCCCATAACAAAAGTGATGACTCCAGAGAACATAGACAGCCATGAAAGCAGCCAGAGACCCTGGGCCAGACGCACCCTCTTTTGGAAGGGGAACTTTAGTTTTAACAACGCCATGCTGCTTAAGAAGAGGCTTAGGATAGGGAGAAAGGGAAGTTTAGTTTGCCGAAGAGGATTTTAATAGAGGCCATACAGTATCAGTATCCAGCTCAGCAAATCATCTGTCATTCGCAGGTAAAGTGTGCAATCCAGAATCATTAGATTACTCAGAAATCATCTCCAAAATACTTCGGAAACAATTAATACAAAGGGAGTGAGACAAAAAAAAAATGTTTTGATGTTGAATTTAAATTACAGTTGTGTCCAAGATTATCTGATTTTAATTTGTGTAAAAGAAAATATATATGAATTACCTGTTTGAGTGCCCTTTTTTTCAGACCCTGAGCCTTCAATATGCCTCCTACAGTTTGGCAGCCATTTTGATTAGGGCTTAAAAATATGATATTGAGTATTATGGCCTGAGTGTCATAATCTCCGGTCATCATGTCTGATCCTATTAGACCAACTCCACCAATGAAAATCCAGGCCAGTGTCCTCTACGTAAACCTGCCCTTGTTCAACAGGTCCAGAAAGAGTGCCAGAGGGAGGGGTTTGGTGCCATGTAATGGACTGAGAAACTGTGAAACCAAAATAAAAAATGTGACACACATTTTAACCCTGCGAGCATTGATAAATGGCAGGGCCAGAAATAAATGAGGGCTTAGGGCAAAAATGTCACCAAAGTGACAAAAACAATCCTGATATTAAAAACATAGTAGCAAAAATTAAAAATATTTTATGATCTGACATATTTCATATTCTATTGTAGGCCAATCTTGGAGTGGTTACTGCCTTTCCAGGGAACGTATGGTGTGTCAGTGCTATCTTTGCTGGCTCAGAGGTGTTAATGTGTGTCTAATGTTGGTTTCTCAACAGTGAAACATTGTGTGGATCTAAACCTACTGTGACTATACACACTTTAAAAAATGCTAGGTTGTTTTAACCCAATTTTGGGTCAAATATGGACAAACCCAGCCCTTTGGTTACATTTTTAAATTACCTTTTTAACCCAATGTTTGCATTGTTCATATTTTACCTAAAATTGGTTGCATTTTTTAGAGTGCATAATATAATATACTCTATATTATAAAACCAAGAATGGATCATTTGAAATATACCAAAGCAGTGTATTAACTCTGTTGTGGTGTGTTGATCAGGTGATTTTAACTTAAAATCCCTTGAAGAAATTGGCATAACTGATGACACTGTTTTAAAGACACCATATTTTCAAAAAATATAATATAGACAAATATAAACCATTATCAAATGTACAACAAAGACTTTATTAATTTCAGGATATTATATAATAAAATAATATGTCTATATGGCTAATTGCAGAAATTATAACTTGCATTCTATCAGTTACACTTAGATTTCAGAATCACAACCACAAATACTTTGCTAATAAATGGACACATTAATGGTCTCAGACGTTAATTTACATATTTCACAGAAGCTCTTTTCACTTTCCATTTAAATTTTTTACAGGAAAACATTAAGCAGTCAAAAATAATTGAATAAGCAGCTCTTTAAAAGTAAATTTGGTTATCAATAAAATTATATGATTGGAACGCATTGTTAACCCATATTGGAACCCATATTATTTTATTGATTACCAGTTTTGAGCTTTTCAGAATATACAAGAGCAAAAAGTGCAAGCAGGTATAAAAACAAAAAACACAGAGAATGCCTTTCACATATGTATTTAACCACAAATCAAAGCAGGAAACCTGAAAACTAAATAATTTTAATTTATATAGCACAAAACCAAATGGTATACATGGGTCTACTTATATTTGCATACAGCAATTATACTTGTGAAGATAGAAGTGAAGTGCATTTCAAAAATGACCAACATGGTAATGGGGGACATTATTGCGATTTTCATCCAGTTCTTAAATAATTTACCATATAAACTTCAGATTGAATGTTACTGTTGTCATTCTATTAGTTCTCTGGCCCCCATCACTGCTTCCAAACTACCCTTCCCTTTACCATCATGCACTGGAGGAGGAATCTGGTTCATAAGCTCATTCAGCATCCTCTGAGCTGTGAGAGATCTGAGATCAGGGTCTTTTCCCACTGTGACAGTTCCTTCTCCACCTGTCTGTCTGCTGAGCCTCATCTCATCTTGGTTATATGGGTTTGGGGGAACAATGTGGATCTCTGTGTTCACAGCTAACTGATGCATTTGATGACTTGGGGCGTTTGAATCTGCCGTCGTTTTGTGGATTGGCACATCATCAGCGAAAAGAAAAGGAAGTTGTGAGTCACTTCCTTTAACCACAAGTTGCTCTGACCGTGCCCATGGATCCTGATCATGTTTCCATGGCAGAAAGGCTGTGGCAGGCTGTTGTCTGGCACCTGAGCATGTCTGTCCAGTCTGCGGCCATTCAAAAACTTCCCTTTTTTCTCCAGATGATTGCTCGTTTCTGAGCTCTTGCGCACTGTCTGATTGGCCACTATCAGGTTGGCCTGGGGATTTTCGATGACATAAGAACTGTTCCAGTCCTTTCGGAGTGTCAAAGTGATTTTTCAACAACTCACTAATCAATGAGTGAATCTGCGGAGAGAAAGTCACCATGAAATAATCTGTCTCTCACATCATCACAGCATCAGTCCCCATTAGGCTTAGGCTATATATAAGCTGTTTAGTGTGGAATTGACTAGTTGCCCAAAAAATGGAAGACGTGGAGCATCTGTTTGTTGTATCTGTGTGTTGCACCTACATTGATGTTTTCCAGAGAGTTGATGGTTTTCTGAGCGGTATCCAGCTGTTTAGTCAGATCCACAACTCTCTGCGTGAGGAACTTCCTCTCCGAGTCCAAGCTGTCTACCTGTCAAAATACGGTACAAAAAAAATACTGCTTAAATGTAACACAGGTGAGAAATGTAACACTAGAGACATTTCAGCAGATGTGAATTTACATTAGCCAAACGTAAGGGAAAGCAGGTGCTTTAATTGATAAGCCATAAAAAGGCCTGAAAACAGCACTATCATATTTTATATTTTATAGATATATTTTAGATCACTTAATACAAGAAAGAAAAGAAACATTCACTGTATGTATCTTTTTCAGCAACCAGTATTTTCTTGTTGTTAATATTTTATAAATCTGTCTAGTGTTTTCCACAGATGTGGTTCATTTTGATGTTAAGCTCAAATCTCATATCTATGCTAAAAAATATGATTTGGTCCTACCTTGGAAGTCTTGACCTTCTCAGCTGTATCCAACATGTAAAATTGTAAAATATCATAGTTCTATTGCACTGATTTACAATTAATTGCAATTTAAAAAACACAATTTAATCATTAGCTCATTTTAACAATTTAGGTTAAGTTTTATTTTTAACAGTAAATATTTAATGTTGACATTGACACGTTTACAAAAAAAAAGGGTCTAAACTGTAATAAGTCATACATTTTGATTTTAACGAGGTTTAACTTACTTAAAATGAGAATAAAACCACTCATATATTATTGAGCTAACATTGACCATAAACATTTTTACAGACCTTTAACACATTTAACACATTTTTCTTTCTGATCCTATTTTGCTCTGATTTTGTGGACAGTGCCTCCTAAAACTCATGTTAATCTTACCGCAGAATTGAGTTTCTGCTCCAAGACGCTGTTTGCCTGCTGATAAACAGAATAGCTCTCTTGGAGTCTGCAAATGAGGCATTAGACAAAGAGAGAGAGTGGGGTGTTGTCATTTTTAAGAACTACATGCAAAAACGTTTGTTTTTCATGGTAGCATAGCATGTAAAGCTTAAATGCTGACCTTCTGTATTTCTCTTTGCAGCTGACTAACTCTGCCTTGGTACATTGCAATTCTGTCTCCATGTTCTCAATGCATGCCACTGTCTGCAACAGGTTCTCGTGCAGCTCTTTGTTGTACTCCTCCAGCATCCTGCAATATATTACAGATCGATGTGTTCCTGTCAGGAGGTAAACTGCTGATTTTCTAGAGACTCAGTATCATAAATCACTAGCAAAAAAAGCATCATGACTCTGACTGTATGAACAGATAAACAGAGAGATGAAAATAGAAGCAATTGATATGGCTCAGGCTGGATGACAGACTTTTAGGAAACTGAGCAGAGTAAAATTACCACTTACTGAACTCTTTCCATGGAACTGACCGAATCCTGGGGGCAAGAGAAAAAAAGCGAGGGGGTGAAACAGTAATCATAGAACAGTGCAAAATAGAATATTGATTTTGAAGCGATACGCTCCAGGAAAGAACATTGATTGATGACTCGTCTGGTTCAATTGTGTTAATCAACAGATATGGACACAGTGAAGGGTATCCCTCATGCTTCCGGTTTTAGAGGTTAACCCAATGCCAAATTTGATTTGATTTGATTTTAAAAACCTCAAACAAGCTATGCTTGTTATAATGGCATATTATGTCTATTCTTCAAGATCAAATTTTGAATCATGTTGCAAGTGTTTGTAATATTGTGAAATATAACTTTTCTCTTTGGCTATTTTTTTTTATTTTTTTTTTTTTGAAAATGTCATTTGATGACAGAGTCACATGATCCTTCAGAAATCATTCTAATATAGTGATTTAGCTCAAGATGCATTCATTACTATGTTGAAAACATGTTATGCTGCTTAATGTTTTTGTGGAAACGGTGTCTTTTTTTTCTTCGTTTTTAGGATTCTTTGGTTCAAAAAGACACACATTTATTCAAAGTAGAATTTTGTTTTTACCATCACACTTTTATTGACTCAAAATCTTTTGAATATTAGTGTAAATTTAGCATCAAATACAAAACAACATTTGGTCTGATACACATACTGAGTAATAGCTTAATTTTGTTAAAAGTAGATTTTCATTGATTTGTAATTGTGTAAATTGTATAAATTGTCAATCAAGTTTTAGATTTATTTAAATTTGTATTCAATCTGAAGTTTATCAAATGATTATTGCTAAATAAAAGAAAATCTGACTTAAAAACTGATTTCCAAACTCATATTAAATGATTGGAACTGACTATTTATTTGTTAGTTTGTTTATTAGTTTTCTTTTATTTGAAGCTTTCTAAAAACATTTCAGGCCCTGAAACATTTGTTCAGCTTTTGATGAACTCACCCTGTGAGTTTTAGACTGCCTCCTGTGTCCCATGTGTTTGGATCTGTCGCTTTTCTCTGAGCTAGCGCTGGATGATTTACTTGACTGAGACTCTGACTCCAGGCCTGGGGCTCGCTGAGGAGGCGGCGATCCCTTCCCCTGCTTAGGAACCAAGTGCCTGGATGGCCCGTGACTACTTTGATGTCGCACTTTGTGTTTAGAGAGGTGGCTGCGGATAGTTTCAGGGCTGGTGCTGGTACCGTCAGTGAGCATCTGAGAATATTGCCTTTGGTGCTGTTTACCTGAGGAAGCCCCCTGTCTTTCA